GATCCGCCCCTGGCTAGTGAAAGGGATTGAGGACCAGTAAAAATATTAATTCACTGGTCCACTTGGCTAGTTAAAAAAAACCTAAAGGGAAACCCCTGATAATTAATAAAATAATGGTGAAAATAGTGCTCAAATACAGGAAATGCTAGTACACACTCACGGAAATATGCTCTCAGAGCTTTTTGTCATGTTTCTAATTAGAATTTAAATATTTTTTTCTTATGATAAAGGTTGCAAAGAAATCAGGTGTAAAAGCAGTTTCCAGTTCCAGTTCAGCCAGAGATTCTGGCAACAAACAAGTGGATAAAAGAACAGAAGAACCTGCCAACATCTTCAAAAGAAGTGATTCCAAGGTATTTTTTAATTACTTTCTCAATGGTTTTTTTGCCTTTTTTGTTTATTCTACTCTTTGTTTTGTAGTGTGTAGTGTTGGATCCAAATTTTGACTGTATCTTTTGTATTGTCAACAATAAATAGTCTTTAATTCCTTTTAAGTTTTAAATGTGTAATGTTGTCATATTAAGTCAAACTGGTCTTTCATGTTGTATTGGAGCAGGTGTCATCACCGAGTAGTTCATCAGCAAATCAGCCGTTTACCGGACTAGCAAGCTATGCAGCAAATCTAACGGGACGTGCCGGAAACGGTAACCGGTCATGTCAGCCTGGACCCAATGCCGGGCGACCATCAAGCAGGGATCGGTCAAATAGCATGACGGCAGCAATAACGTCAAAACCACCCTCAGCTGGTCCGGTAAACAAAAATCTGGCCGAGGCCTCTGCCAGACAATCGAACATTAGTAAAACAGCTCCATGTCAGAAGCAGGGTTTAAAAACATCAAGTGTAGACCCATATTATAAACGAATGCAAATGATGAAGAAAAAAGCTTCAAAGAAGTAAGGATCAAATCAAATATATATACTAACACAGATTTTTGTTAAGCTATAAGGTGCTTGCTTGGGTCATTGTACCACATCCTCATGTGAAAAAAAGTTCCACCTAATACACCAACGGAAATAAAGTATCTTCCCACTTTTATTATAAAGACAATCGTAAAAGAATGTAACTATTTTACCAGAATAGTTAAGTTATTCAGTAGTGTAACTCAAATCGTGGGTCTCAGAGCTGACAGTGTCAAGTATGATGTAGGGTTTTTTTGGCCATGAAGTGGCTGTTTATTTATTTGGTCCTAATTGCAACCATACACTTCTACTAAGGTAACACCTCTGACACTTAAGTCTATATTTTATGTTCTATGTAAATTCACAATTTAGATTTATTTTGACCAATTATTTCATTATACACCTTTTAATAAAAATTGCATTGATGATGATGATGAAGAGTAAAAAAATTTTAAAACAGAACCTAATCTTTGAATGCTTACTTTCTCTCAAAATTCTAATATTTCATAAGCATGCCAATGAAAAGACATGCTCGACTACAGACGAAAACATAAATTATATAACAATGCTTGTTCACAAGACTGCAATCAAAAGGGTACAGTGAAATTGGCTGTTGATATTTTGTGACTTTTCATAATTCAGCCAAAGAAAATTTCTTGGTTACCAATAATCAGTGACAACGTACAAAACGTATGTATGTTTGTGGAGGGGTCATTTGCATATTTTGTATCATTCTGTATCCAATGACCAAGAAAAATTCTGTGCTCAAAGTACTTCTAACGAAATAGATATGTCGTCGACGTATATACATCCTTTACATCGGGGTGGGCGTAAAACTGGGTCAGAGGTACAGAGTGAATTTTTGATTAAGCACTGAGGGCCATGCCCAAACTTTGATTTTCCAGTGTGCTTCCAAAAACCTTGAATATGTTGACTACATTTATTTCTATTTGTTCTTAATTTGTATGGTAAATTTGTTTGAATGGTAACGTTAATTCACTTCTCTAAATGTTAGAACATTATTAAATTGCATTCAATAACCATTCTCTTTTGGATGAAAATGGCTTTTAGAGTGATTATAGTCGTTGTTGTGTTGCCTATTATTTTGAGGTTCGTCTTTTATTAGGCAATTACGTCATATGAAAGTTGTCTAATCATTGCGACATTTAAAAATGCTGGCGTGACTTGACCATACTAATATTAGATGAAGCTGGAATGTACAGTATACTAGTATATGATTCTCTGACAAGTTATCATGTATGACCAATATTTGTTCAATGATATCAGTATTTTTGAGAATTCATAAGTACTTTGCATTATTAAATATTGATCTAAAGATTGATTTTTGGATGTGTGGTTGTATAACAACTTATCAACGATAGATTAAGCTGCAAATATGAATAAATACCCGTGGTTTAGAGCATGTTATAAAATATATTTCGTAATATTATTGTAAACATATTCATAATTCGTCGGTAAGAGAATTACTTCTTTTTGAAAGTCTTGCAAGGGACATGGCATTGCGTTGAATGAAAAGTACTGAAAAGTGGCATAATAATTGATCGTACCGCCGTTCTAAAGGTGAAATGTCAGCAGTTAAATATATAAATATAGTACAGATCAAACATTTGCTTCATTGAATGTTACATAATGGAGTTAGTGATATTTTTTGATGTACTGTGATGTTATTAATTCCCATTTTCCTAAGTAGCAGGCGGTGTTTCTGAGAACGAAACATACTTTCATTTTTACTATACTACCGTGTCAGCCTATGTTAGCTTTCTGGTGTCCTAAAAAATTATTGTGGACAGTTACTAGTAGGACGGCACGTGTACGATATGCCTACACTGCATTTAGTACATACGTATACAACCAGTAACTACTCAATTTTTTATGTATGTATGTGTGTAAGAACTAAAATGAAAAGATCATTTGCAGCCATCTAGGAATCAAAATTTTCCCGAAGGGCATATACACACATAACAGGCCTATTTATTATAAGAATGAGAAAGTTACCTGACCATTTCCAATTGGCCTGTTTGCCAATCCACAAATCTAAAGACCCTTTAGAAATAATACTATTACTATTATTAAGTTCATATGAGTCAAGAGTTATAATAAGATAGTATTTATTAAGCCATTCATAAGGGGTTATTGAAACAGAAAAGGTAACTTTAACCTCAATATTAATCACTAACAGTACATGAACACATTTATAAAGCATTCAAATTTCACATCTAAGTAATATAATAGAAACTTTCTAAAATTAGTAACACTCTGTACCTCAGTTTTTTCACCCAAATTATGATTATGGTTTCATAAATAATTTGCATTCATAATTATTGAGATGTATTTTGACCAATCATTTTATGCACCTTTAACAAGAATAATGTACAAAGCACACATTTGTAGAATAAAAATATGCCCTATGGAAAACTCTCTACATACATTTCTGTATTTGATAGTATAAAGTATAGGATGGAAACACATGAGTGGCTATGGACGAATAAAAATTATATAACAATTACAAGATTGCAATCATATTCAACAGTTTTAAATTTTTTACTGGATGGTTTATTGTAAGATTACTTTTATTATTCATCATTCTATTGTCACTATATATATATATATATATATATATATATATATATATATATATTTAGTGGTAGCTTCTCTATTGTTCTATTCTAGTTAATAGCAATTACACAGACCAAGTACAATGACTATAAAAACATGTATACAATACTTTTATCTTCATTACATGTCAGGGTGTTAGGGATAAATGCTCTGGTGAAATCAGGAAAACCTCAAAATTCAATTAACTACTCGAAACAAGCTGTCAACTTCCAATACATAACAAAAACAGTTTGAAGTATAAATAACCTATTAGTAACTTATAGGAAACTTACACAAACGAATGCTTAGTGTGTTGCCGGCGTCTACCTTATGCGCGGCCGCGTATCGACGATGACCATGTGATGTAACCTATAAAAAGGCTGCCGCTCGTTGATTCAAATCATAACCACACTAGACATCGCCCCATTTTAATATACCTATTCCCTTAAACGCTACCAATACGCCATTATACGATAACTGTAAGTTTTGTGGTCTTCTGGAACACGTCAAATATGTCTACATACATTGGAGATAAGTTTGTTATAAGTTACATATAAGTTCGAAGCACATTACTCATAGGTTAGAAATACGTTTTGACTTTTGAGTAACTTACAAGTAACGTGTGTCAACGATCGCTTAACTTGCCTACAAGCCATACACTGGCATATGTCGAAAAGTTTTGTGCATGCAAAAAACTTTTCGATGTAGTCGCTGTACCAGGACGTATACCAGCATGCTTAGCTTATACGAAACTTACCAATAACTTATTCAGCGTACGCCAGCGTATTCGCCATTTTTTTCATACGTTGGCATACGCTGGCTAAATCGTCAAGGTGTGACAGGGCCATTGCAATTGTTCACTGTGTAGATGTTGCAATATAAGGTTAGTCTTCAACTTTAAGGCACATTCAGCACTACTACCCTGCAAAATAGTTTGGTGGGCATGTACTACCATAGAATTCTTAGGTGGGAGTGTAGACTCGAATGCCTTCTTTAATCATAGCAACGTCTATATAAAGTCATGATTTTATCTGCGTTGGTCATCAAAGTACTCAAGCTGCTAATAACACTAACAACTACTTGACAATGTTCTTGCACAAAAGTATCTACGTAAAGCTGTAGGCCATCGTTGTTATAATTCTGTTATAATGATTTGTAAGATCTAAGTTGCTGTCATCTCTGATTGGAACAATCCTCGTCTTCCTCAACATCCCGATGCTCCTCTTCAGAGTCATTGCTATTCATCATCGATGTTTTCCGTCTGGAGATTAAAAAAACATACAATAGTAAAATAGAATACCAAATACTATTGGGATAGCTTCAATAACACTGAACAGAAATACGTAATAATACTATAATTTACAATGATTACTGGGCCAACTTATATTTAGACTGCTTTGTAGATACCTGGGATTAGTGAACAACAAGACGCCTTTGGATGAAGGAACAATTGATGCCACCATATTCCCTTCACCACCTCCCCACCTCTGCAACCTCACCCTACCCACAACATTTTGTCTTTCTATTCCTAAATTCACACCTTTTTGAGCGTCTATCGTGTTCCTTCTCTCCCTTTTCGTCGTCTGCACTCTCTGAGCATGAGCTGCTTGATGACGATGACCCACTTGAGCTATCTGATTGTATATGAGTTGGCTTATTGAGGTCAACAAGGTCAGCCACTTCTGCTAAGTGTGGTAACTCTCTCTAAAAAAAATAAAAAAAAAAATATTAAAATAATAATGATTTATATAGTGCCTTTCCAAATTGATCAAAACGCTTCTCAAGGATAACATCAGAAATACAGTACGATTTTACAATAATTATAGTAATTTACAATATTAGTAAAATAATAATAATATTATTACCGATATAAAAGCGAACGACAATAAGATTAAAATAGATTACAATATAACACATAAAGAAATATAATAAATAATTGTGAAGATTGGATGTTAATGCACTTTCCCATTACTCAAAATTATTTATTGCCCAAGAAGAAAATTAGGCTAGTTAAAAATCATTTCACACTAATAACATGAATACAGTAAACTTCAGCCAAGTTAGCTGTGCATAAGTTGAAAATTCATGTAATTTGCTTACCTATAATTTCAATGATTAAACACTTGCTAACTTGAATAAATGAAATCAAAGTTAATCATAATTTACATGCTAAATTTGTGTTTTAAAATGATTTTTAACTTCCATTCCCCACACATGCGGTTAATTTATCAAGCATCCCCTACTATAAAACGGAAAATTCTGTAACACAAAATAATAACAAAAATCAACTTCGCATCGGTTGCTAGAGTAATTAAATTAGGTGAGCTTATTATTGCAAATATTCATGGTCATTTGATTTTTTAACCGGTCCAATTTTCAAATCATTAGCATCAGTCACAGAATACCTTCAGCGCACTTATCCATTTCTTGGATAGTTTTGGTCTCCCGTGGACTGTCTTGTGCCATACAATCGGGAAGTTAGTATTACTTGCAAAGTTCTGAGTAATAGCAATTGTATCATCCAGGTTGATTACAACATGCCACCAGCCACCTGGTACAAAAACTGTCTCGCCTGGACCCTGTAGAATTTCAATCTATAAAAATAAAAACGAACGAAAAAATCTCTTTAAATCAGACTTTAAATGACGGTGGTAGTACAAAGTATGAGATGACAATCTCAAAACCTAATACAGTATTGAAATCATCAAATATAGTTATAGCTTTGAATCAACTCTTACAGGTTTGCAGTCTTGTGGCCATGACGACTGTTTTGTTCTTGGGTAGATTACATTGAACCACGTTATAGCTTCATCAATCTGTTTGCCGCCCTCTTCAGGCTTCACTTTTATTAGCTCCTTGGGTGTATGAGTTGGGAACATGCACCATCTGAGATAAGATATTTAAATGATTGACAAGAATGTATGGTTAGTAAGTGCAATTTTTACGTTTCTAAGTAACTTTTGATAAGGCTAATAAATAAATAATTGTAATTAAATTTCACCAATCTTGGATCTGCCTCTACAATGCAAACAGTAGCTTATACTGCAAGCTGAATAAGTCAATTGGTAGTTTGTACTGCACATGCCCGTATCCAAGGTCAATCTCTATAAACCTATCCTTTGTGTATGTTTATGTCGATGTGAGCATACACAGTTCAAACTACAAACTAGCTTATAGCATTCTGCTTTTCTAAGGTCCCAGAATAAAATATGACAGAATTCCTGATATTATTATTACAAAAATGTCATGCTAATGTGTTCTACCTTTTATGTCCCTTGACAAGTGCATTCCAAGCGCTGGTACCCAGAGGGTCAATGTGGATGCCAGTGCCTGAGCGCTTTGGACCCATTACAAACCATCTGTACGGAGGCCTCTTATCTTCACCAACAAACTTAAATAAATCATCTCGGAAATATTTTGGTACTTCATAATCTTCCATCAGCTTCTTCTTTTTGGGATGCTAATAAGAAAAGTATACCTTATTAATTGGCATGCTGATACAAGTTATTTGTTAGTGACAATAGTTGAAAAAAAAATTATTTTGCAATACATGCAGTGGTATAGAATTTCTTCCATTGGTGAACAATCAATATAGATATCTATAGAATACCATAGTTTCCCCTCTCACCCCTACAGAATATCAAGATTTACATTGTTCAAGACAAATTATCAAAGTTGAATCGCCCATGTGAATGCTCTAAACAAGTTGTCACGGCTGAATTGTCCAAAAGCGTAGAAATATAGTTTAGTGCATGTTGGTATACATAAGCGGGCAATACTACTACAGTACATTATGTAGTGGGGACTCACATCACCGAAGCTGCTGTCAAATATATAGAGTGGACTGTCATCCTTTGTGTACTGCATGTAGTCCACGTAATACTTCATTTTCATTTTAACCGAGTAGCCTTCGTTGTCTTCTCCACATTTGAATCGTTGATTTCTGTATTTCTTGATCAGACGCTACAAATACAAGGGACACATTAGTGTTGCTTTAAAATAGCATTCATATTTTGGATATTTGACATTTTGAACTTGGATGTTGATTCAATATATCTAAACAGATGGTATTACATAAAAGCGGGATCGGTGAAGAGGAAAATGATGATGATATGGAGAATGATAAAGATGGGGACTTACAGTAATAAATAAAATCAGAATGATATAGATGAATATATGAGAGGTTTTTTTTGTTTAGTATTCTCGGGTGGATTTATGGGGGGGGGGTGGATTTATGGGCAAGCCAGCTCCAGGGCCCTCCCTCCCTTGAAAATCTAACAGAAAAAGAAAAAAAAAGTAAGAATTTATTGATTACCTAAAACGCCCCTCAGAGATTATTTCCGGGCATCTAGAAACAAAAATTTTGCATGGTATGCCCCCAGACCCCTAAGGTTGTCTCTCGATCCACCCCCTTTCGGCCCAGTTTTTCGACATCTTTGGATCCGCCCCTGGTATCAGACAGGTGGCGCACCAACCCACATCTGGTTATCTGGCAAGTTTGAACACTGTATAAGTATAGTATTATCGTTAATATTACGGCTGCTAATATTTTGCAGAGCTGTACCTCTAATGTCCATTTTTTTTCTGCTTGCCAATTATCCTGGCAATGAACTATAACACATGGCAGCATGGGTTTCTCAAACTTGTCAACAAATTCTTCTTCCGACGTGCATCGGGCGTCAACACGTGTCGCATTGTCTTGAAATGACTCCAGTCCACAATCAAAGTAGTCATAATAGTTGTGTCTCTCCCAATCATAGCTATCTCTTAGTTCTACTTGACAAGAAAGTTGAAAGATTAAGAAAAAAATATTTGTGATTGAATTTAATTTTCTAATCTAGGAATGCATGACACTGAACAGAACATGTCTTTAAATGTTTTGACTCATTGATTCCATTCCATTAGTTGTTAAAATAATACAACAGTTTCAGGCATACAAATAATCAATCAATAAAATACTGTAATAAAGTTACAAGATACAGTATAAGAAGCAAATTCTGCCACAGCTGGAGAAACTAGGCCTAGGCTAACTATAAAATAGGTCCAAGTTCCAAAAATATTACACATTAAACACATCTTAACATAACCTGAACGTGCTTTGATTTCTAATAAAAATTTCGCCACAATATGCTCATACTATGGCCTAGTCTAACTAGTATACATAAAAATGATGAAAGCTTAAATTTCACAAAGATTTACTGCCAGGCCCCCAAAGAACACCATCTCTATGCCCAACCATCGCTGCAATGATAGCCTAACAAACGGCGACAGTGAATGAATTTTAAGCAAGTCTAGACACTAGAGAGGCCTAGCTATGTTCCTATTCAAATGTTAATAATACGAAAATAACCTGGTCTAGCTGCTCGTTTTGACTCCCATATCCTTCTTTTTACTCTACGATCCATCCTGATTTAAAATAATTTCCACCATCAGGAATAAAACAAGTAAAACAGTGTGCGAACTTCCAGAAATCATTCAATCAAATCGCACGTACACACCAACACATTTTTGTTTTTTTAAAATATAATTATTTTTTTGGTAGAGCCCCACCTATCGTTGTTCAGCATTAAGTTTACTGGTTCCCGTTGGTGTATAATAATGATGTTTCGTTTTCGTCTCACGTGCTACCTCCTCCAGAACCGGGTCCGGTGGTGTCGGTTCTTTGCAAGAAGAAATCCTCTAAATGTTCTTGCTATTTGGTTGAAGGTGGGGGGGGGGGGGGGTAACTATACTGGATAAAATTCTACGGTCTTCCGAGAGGTTGAACTGATTTTTACGCTGTGGTGGCGCCAGGATTTGCCCGAGGGGGGTCGGAGGTCCCCGACGAAAAAAAGTGGTCCTGGTCGGGCGTCGCTCAAAAAATCTCTCGAAAGTGTTCCAGGGGGCGAGGCCACAGAAAAAACAGGGTTATCTAATAGGTTTCGGGGTCTACTAATATGTAGAAAATACATATACATTTTTTTCTCCCTGACGAATTGTGGTTTTTATCCCCGACCGGGGGTGGGGGTTCTTCACGACAGGGAGCCCTGGCTCCCCCTCCCCTCCCCCGCTGGCGCCACCCATGTATTTACGCCTCCCCGTTTGGGGTTAATCTTTAAAAAAAACAGTGGGGTGGGACTGCCGTCAGGTAGACCAGCCGTTGGGAGGCCACAGTACCTGTACAGTAGTTGTCAAAACAGGCCCATTTTCAACTCTGTCCTGGAAAAATGAAACATACGGTGTGACCATGGACCTATTAACTGTGGTGGGACTCAGGTGGACGATAATTACGAATTAAACATAGGCCTATAATTCGTAGACTGAAATTACTGTTACTCTATTTAATACTTAAATGGAGTTTTTTTCAAATTATTGTTTGTCGAATTTGGTCGAATTTGTTTTTTATTCCGAATCTTTAATCCGTCTACATTGACATGGTGGGCAGGCAAACCCTCAACGGCTTAACATTGTTTTTATGCTACCGTACTTATTCTATAATTGTCAATTTCTTTGGCAATGTTTCCAACCGCGGAGGAGTAAACACGTCAACACCGTGGCTTATGGCGTAACAAAAGTTTACTCGAAGTGACACATGGAGTGAGATGCAATGACGTTGATTGGCAGGGACATTGGCACCTTACTGCAATATACACATTCAAGGGCCGCTTATCGTTCATTCACATGGCGTTCATTGATGACAAGCGTTTTCAATATAGTTTACGCAAGATGTTTTCATGTTAGTTAAAATGTTTATTAACGATATAATTATAATGCTTATTTGGTTTCTAAATCGATCGTATTCTCATTGTGCTTTATGTGTATGTTAATCAACACATTAACATAAACTTACATCGATACATACAGGTAGGCATCGATAGGCATATATATATTTTTATTTTATTTTATAAGAAATCGTCCAACAGGAACTCTTCGTTCCCACTTACAGGCGAATATATATATATATAGTGCCTTGAGCACTTTAGTGGAGATGTGCGCTTAATAAATCTTATTATTATTATTATTATTATTATTATTATTATTATTATTATTATTATTATTATTATTATATATATATATATATATATACATATATATATATATATATATATATATAATACAAATATATTATTAAAAAATAACAAATAGATAAATAATAATAACTTGATTTGCATATATATAATATTGAATAATATGGTATTATTGAGGCCTATAATATTTCTGTCACATTTCCAATCATGTTCAAGACAGAGTTAGAAAATGTCAAAGGGCCTTTTATTCCCTTCAAAGTATTGGAATGTGTAGAAACGGTTCATCTTATAATGTTAAGAGCCATCGGAAATCCATAATGCTACCGATACTAACTTTTGGATGTGAATGTGTTAACACAAATGCTAGTGCTATTAAAAACTTAGAAACTACACAAAGTAAATTGATTAAAACTGCGATTGGTCTCCCGAAGTTCTATAGGAACACCCCTCTTTGGCATGCCCTAAGTATAAGTAAAGTTCAGTGTCAAATCAGAACAAATCAACTGTTTGTTTTTTTTTGCAATAACTCTAAATCGAGAAAACTATATGGTCACCTTTTAAATGTTGAGGCCAATGGCTGCAAAAACATTAAGAACACTCTGGTCGATAAGATTAAGTGCAGTACTGGTGATGTGGGTTTTACTTATCATTGTACAGTATGTCACAAATAATCACTATCGCAAAGATCTGGATAACAGATTAAAGCGCATCGACTCTAATGATCACGGTATCTGTGACAGTATAAAAACCATTATGGAGTTTGACCCCTCCCTTACCAACGAAACCATTCATTACCTAAAGTTGTTACTCAGAGGTTTCTGAATGAGAGGTTACGTTTTGCTGTTCTATTTTGTATATATACTAGTTTAGTTTACCTTGTGCTGTGTTTTAATTATTTGTCTTTTTATAATGTCAGTTTAGGTAAGGTATTTTTTGAATAAATTGAAAATCTTTGAATAAATTGAAATACAAGCTATGTAAAAATATAAAATGTGAAGATTAATAGGTATATGTTCGATGATGCTATATTAATGATTAAAGAAAGTGTAATGTTCAATTAATATTACTGTGCTCACGTTGTTGTCATGTTCAAAACATCGGTGGTCAAAATTTTTTTTATTTGTCGGTAACTTGTCATCTACACAAATTAGAACGTTGGTCACTAGTAACATAAAATATTTTGATATATTTCACTTCTGCTCTAAGATGTCATTCATGTATAGGCCTAAGCCTATTATACATGTGTGCCCTGAAATCAGTATAATTACTATCCAATCACGTTTTTCCCTGTCCGTCAACAGACATGAAGTGTGATATGAATGCGTGAAAACACAATCAAGAAAATACCAGCGCGTCTCAATTACGTGCATAATCCTCTTCAATGGCTGCTTACAGAAGCCTAAGTAACTATCCAACCACTCCAACACATCACGCGGGAGAACCTTAGGGGTTGACGAACATCTTTCATCGCGTTTAAATTATAAACATAAAAGAACTCAACCTCAGTCTTACGATAACATCTCTAGGGCAGAATCGTTGATGTTGCAAATATTCAAAATCTAAGGACTGGTTCCTGGAACGAGAAGAAGACATATTAAATTGGTTTGCGCTGATTGTGTTTGTACGTGTTGCCATTTAATTTGGAGCGAAACATCGACCGGACCGGAGAACAAATAGAGTTAGACCTTAATGGATTTGTACTGCAGATCAACAAAATTACAGAGTACGTGACTGAGACTGAGTAAAAGGCCTTAAAAGTGAGTTAGAAGTAAGTTAACTACATACGTTCTAAGAAATAAAAGCACGTTCCGCTTGTAGGAGGAGATTCAATTAAGAACCTGCAGTTTGTAGAACGTTTCAATTTTTGTAAAGAAAAGAAAGTACGAACTTGTTTTTATAAATTCTCATATTCAAGCCAGATCATCGTTTATTTCATGTTTCGTTCTTTGGTAAGTAGTCCGTCTGAAACATATTTTCCTTGTGTTTCTTCTCGCATATAAGTTTATAATTTTTCCAATGTTAATTATAAATCCATATTTATGGCATTATATGCATGTGCCTCAACTTAGTTTTGTTTGGTCTGTATGAAGGAGTCATTACAGGGCAAGGTCAAAGCCAGTCGAGACGTGGAGCATTACGATGATTGATTCATTATTTTTTAAAACTTGTAGTAAACAAAAGATGTTGTGGCTCAGTTTCATGACCGAAGAACATATCGCAACCTTTTTATGACGATGACGACGAAAGTTAATGGCGATTATAATAATATATATACTGTATATATATACACACATATATATATGTATGGCCCTGTCTCTTATACACATCTTGTGTGTGTGTGTGTGTGTGTGTGTGTGTGTGTGTGTGTATGTATATATAGGCAATATCAATAATTAATAATGATATATGAATTTGAATAAAAATATGATGATACCAGTAGGCCTACTACAGAAACCTATCTTATGATACTTAAAACACTAGGCCTACTAATCGTAATGGTCAATTGAGGTAGTAGGTCATTAGAATATTAATTATATTAGGCCCAGTAATAGTAATGATAACAAAAAATAAAATAATATTAATAATGATAAAGATGACGATGATAAAGATAATGATGGTAATGATGATGACGATGACGATAATATTTGTGATAATAATGATGATAATGATGATGATAACAATAATGTCATATCTGTATCTAATTCTATGTATAATTTAGATTCCCGGGTCATAACATTGTACCCTCCATCTCATCTCATCTCTCTCTCTCTCTCGCAATCGTTTGAATGACACTGTTTGAATTCAGGTGTTTGTTTATTAGGTTTGACATTTATTGAGTGGTGTGACCAGATTGTGTTTCAAACCATGGCGCAGTTAATACACCGACAAAGTCCTGCAGTCAAAAAAAATGTTCACACATCAATAGTCAATGTGTAGTAATCTAATAAACATTATGCTGTGTGTGTGGTACAGTGTGTCGAAAAGTATCTTGCTTCTGACTTTAGCACCTTGCTAATAAAAGCCCAGCTGTTCTCAGCTGCGCACTGCAGTACAATTCAGAAGGGATCGTGACGTTTACAAAAGAACCACAGTTGACGGTAATTGTGCACAATTCTTTCGTAACCAGTTCTCATTTTTTCAGAATTATAGTTGATGGTGGTTTATAATAGAGCAGTGGAGTCGGCCTAGATCTCCTTTACGCAATATCTTTTCTTTTATAAGCATAGCCTACTATAATTGTGGCTAGTAGGCCTATTGTTGCTACAAACCATCGGCCAACACCAAGGCCTACTGTACTTTGTAGAAATGTAGGTCTAACCTTTGGTTATTGGATAAACATCATCATTTTATAATCATTATCATCATCAACATCACCACCATCATCATCAACATCAATTATCATCCTCATCACCGTCAATATCTTCATCATCATCATTATCACCATCATCGTCACCATTGTCATCTTCATCTTCGTTGTCATCATCATGCTCATCATTGTCATCATGATCATGATCATCATCATCATTATCATCATCATCATCATCATCAGTATGACTATTAATATTAATATTATATTTCGCTATTTTATCTTTAGAGCGCGTACTAAGATGTCGATACGTATCGTTACAGCATTTTCTGCGGCGTCTGCCTTCTTCCTGCTCTCAACGTTTATCGTATACAGTGACGGGGCGACGTGCGAGCTGATCAAACTTCCGATGTGTAAAGGCATGCCGTGGAACAAAACCCGGATGCCGAACCATCTGCATCATAGCACACAAGAAAACGCCAAACTCGCGATTGAACAGTTTCAGGGGCTCGTCTCCACGAACTGCAGCTCTGAACTTTTATTCTTTCTTTGTTCTATGTATGCACCAATTTGTGCATATGGTTTCCAAGACGACGCAGGTATACCGCCTTGTAGGAGTTTGTGTCTACGTGCTAAATCAGGTTGTGAACCAATCATGTTGAAGTATGACGTAAAATGGCCACCCTACCTGAGATGTGATAACTTGCCTGAGTACGATAGGGGCGTTTGTATATCCCCGGAGGCTATTGTGGACGAAATGCCACGCGATCCTTCACTCGATACAGGTGAGCATATAGGACACAGAGGCGTAGATCTAGCAGTTAATTCTGTTTTAAAACCTCATATGCTGTCTTCATTCAGGGTTATTGCTCATATTTTCTTTTCGAGTAATTGCGCATTCATTCTACTTATGATGCAGCGCGAGACTTGCCCGCCGACCATTTTTAAGCCTGTTTACACTATAGCAATTGACCTTTTCCCGAGTGACGGGGCTTTATAGCTGAAATGGTCCGTTTAGACGCGTTGATGCACTGCGCTCTCTCGTACGACGATAGCATTGATGATTGCGTGTAATGTAAGGTATTTAAAGCCCGGTTCCGTGGAAAAATTATGTTTTGATACCAAAAAAGGTGTAAAAAGGGTTACGCCCCTTCCCCCACCCCCAAATTTTTAAATATTAACAAATATGTATCTCATTAACTGCTTTTTCGTCAAATATGCTTTTGTGTCTTAGAAAAATTAGTTGTGCAACTATCAATTCATCCGGAGCCTGGATTTAATAATTACAATTATTTAGTAGGCTGTAGGCCAATTTATATGTTTTATTGGAATGTACCGACATGAGCAAGTGGGGAATGCATGCATTTTCATCGTATATAGCATTGACAGTCTGAGCTGGTAGTGTACTTAGTGCGTGCGCATTCATTGGTGTAGCGCACATTATGTCCTGACCTTACGCGTGAGATTATTCTCTTTTTTAGGTGTCGTACCATCACCGCCTGACCTGATTCCTCAAAATCCTCCGCCATTGCCATCGGCTGAACGTGAGTCATATTTTCACATTCCAATTTACACATATTGTATTTACGCTATATGGAACATTTACTTATTAAAAATATTTGTTTAAAAATTGTTTTAATGCGAGTGTTGACCACAAACATATACCGTATGCTCAATAATGATTTTATTATTGATTGGGCAACACCTGGTTGATCCCGATTTGTGTTCGTTTGCCAGAAATTTACTTATGCTGTGTCTACCCAACCAACATTAATCCTTCCCAGAAATCGACATACAAATGTTAGGTCTACCCAACCAAGTTCTAAGTTCAAGTTCAAAAGAACATTTATTTCTCAAAAGTAATAATAATGCAAATAATAAATAACTAGCCAAGTTTGAGGGGCGAAACCCAGAAAGCGGAGCTTGTGTAGGGCTGCCCTGAAATAAACACAGAAAAACCAAAGCCAAAACAGAACAGGACAGGACAACAGGGGACAGGACAGGACAGGACAGGACAAGACAGACAAAGCAGACAACACGAGGATAATCAGAAATCGAGTAACAAATGCTGTAGTTCAACCATTAAACCACAGCTTAGGCCTATCTGCCAAAATTATTCCAATGCTGCACCGACCCAACAAACCATTAAATAGTCCTGTAATTGGCGGGATTATCATGAGACCATCAGTGTAAGTGTGCTTTATTAATGTTCCAATTACTATTTTAAGAGTCGCACTTCTCTTCTTTTCATCAGTTTAATTACGGAGTGTCGGACGGAACACCCCATCCCCCCCCCCCCTAAATTATACAAAAAAAAGAGTAGAAAAAAAAAAGAAAATGATGTAAAAATATAAAAAGAGAGCTGAGAGTGCAATATCAGGCCACTTAGAGTGCCATAATCATAATGTTCTTTCCTCAGCCCCAACCTGGTGGGGTGGGGTAGTGTACCCTCGATATTATGTGAAAGTCGGTTTCTGTGTGAATTCATGGAACCGCCACTGTTAAGATTCCAAAAGCTGGTGCTCTAGTCCTAACCTTCATAAAGAGTATAAAGATGGGACGTCACCGAACCTCTTTAGACTACTGTAATCAGTGCCCTGGCCAGCCAGTGGCGAATGTTATGCCCGGGTCCAATTCACTGTTAACGAGTTCAGGGGGCTGAATTTCAGTACTGAGTTAAGTTGGATTACGGTATAGGCTACTATAACGTGGAGGTACCATGCAGACGATATCTGGCCACAGACGCACCTGGGCAGCAGGAAGGCGTGAAGTTCATTAGTGATTACCAAATTAAGAAAATCCTGAATATACCAATCAATCAAGCCTGTCAATCAATCCAGATGTTTTGATTCAATTTGTCTTGACAGGTTGATTTAACTTAAATATGTCAATCTTTGTGACGTTAAGCCTAGACTACAAGAGCTTAGATGATACCATAGAGAAAATATGATATATTTAAAATAAATAAAATATTTTCTCTATGATGATACCAGACTACCAGAGCTATGATAAGTCGGCCTAGGCCTATATCGAAAGGCGTATAGAAGAAGCATTTATTTTCCCTCGCTTTGTATGCGTCTAAGCATGGAGGAAATATATTTTTTCCTCCATGGTCTAAGCATGAAGATCTGAGGGCCCTTTCATCATTACGGGCAAAATGGGACAGTCGATTTGGCCTAATGAAATGATTTTTTTAACTTTAAGAATGTGTCTATAGTACCTAAAATGATATATACATTTATTAAATTCAAAGGTCCAATAATTTAAACGAATGGTTTGTGTTTTTCAAAGTAGGCATTGTGCCTTGATTTACTGTACCAGAATCATCCAAACCAATGGTCGGATCGTCTTCGGGGAGTAATTATAACACGCCTTTAATGTGTTGTCTGTCGTACTGGGAGTATATAAAATATTTATGATCCCACTCTGACAGTGATACAACGCCTTTGCTTTACGCTGTAAAAACTAAACTTGTTTATCGTACAATATGAACAATCTCTTTTGTTTATTGATTTATCCTCATATATCTCGGGAGACGTAAGTAATAACGAAAGTTAAGTTTATGTCTATATATTATTTCTTGACGCCGGAACTTAAGGCCAAGTAAAAACAAAAGTAGTTCTCGTACTAATATTTTGGGGAAAAAGCAGAATGAGGGCCCTTTTTTTTTGCTCGAGATGGCAAATCGAATATGGTGGATGGGAAACAGTTACTACTTTCTCACTTTTACCAAGACAAACTTAAAACAAATAAGGAAGCACTTGACGTGATTCATACCATAATGTATCTCCAACCACGAACGATCGAGAGAGAAGTTTTACTGATGTGAGTTACTGTATAGCCAGATTTTCGTACATTTCGTTAAATAAAGGGGGAAAATGTTGATGCAGAGAAAATGAATGTGCGAGGGGACGAGAAACTAGTGTTTATTTATTTATATATTTTTTTGGCCTAAACGAAAATCGTTCTATTCTTTCTGCATAAAACGCCGAGTCAAGAAAACTTCAGCGTAGACGCAATTAAAGTGAATAATGAATGTCAGATGTGATTTAAAAATGAAAATTACCGTATAGCCTAATTTTCAACAGGATAGTTGATACAACAGTGCGCCACTGTTATGATTAAACAAGGCATAGCCTACTCGGCTGCTGACAGGGGTGTTGGAAATATCTTATGAAGATCCGGAGTAGGATTGACTCTTTTGGGGGGAAATTTCTAGCCATATTATTAAGCTGTTCTGTGATCTCCCCTACTGTACCTGTGCTGTAACTCTAACCACAGGCGCGTCTATCATTTAACGTCACGTGAATTCACGAATATATCAATAGATGCTTTTATTGATCACGGTTTTGTTGTTCTTCATTCTAGAGAAATGACGTTAAGAGTATAAAAGGTGATTTCACGGTATTTAGACTTCCGCAATTAATTGTTTTACGGATTTAGGCCTACGCGGTACCATATTGTATAGGCCTACTTTTTTTCTTCTCACTTCAATGCTTGCCTACAAAGCATAAGTACAGTAATAAATTCCTCTCATTTTGTCATTAGAGCCTACCAATTGTTGAGCATTAATTTAATTTTAAATTTCTTGCCTTTATATAAAGACCTAAGCCTAGATGTTCTTGAAGAATTGGAATTTAACACTCACATTCAAATGTTGATAACGTTGGCTTACAAAATATGTTTGAACATCCCGCTGCTGAATCGTAAATGAAGTAAAATTTTATTACGGAAAAATAGACTGAAGACATGGCCAGAAACTACCGGTGCTACTGATAGGATAGTTGTTGAATAACTGTACTAGTACAAGAACAAATTCAAAAGTGGTGACAAGGAAAACATTTCAGTGTCGAAAGAAATTCAAATTTATTTCGATCAAGAAAAAAAATAAATTAAAGACATCTCTATCCCAAAAGACGAGGTAAAAATATAAATTACCATCATCTATTCTTTTTCAATAATATACGGTATACATCCATAATATATAGGCCTACATTGTAATTCATCATCATTTTCTTTGGTCATTTTTTTTTTGTTTGTTTTTGTTTTGATCAGTGGTTTTGTCTTCTTTTTTCTTCGTCTCTGTGTTTGGATCCCTTTGGAAATAAGTTTGTTTTTTTTTAAATTACCAACTGTCATGATACCAAATACAAAAATAAAAAATAAAATCATATAATTATCATAATCATCATCATAATCAATATCATCATCGACATCGTCGTCACCATATAGACCTATCCAATGATTACTCCATTCGTCGTCGTCGCCTAGGTTACGGTATTTATCAATACAACATAACATCGATGGTGTGAGAAAATTCCGCCTATATGTATTTTTCCCGGTATTTTTCCTATAATTTTTATATTATCTAAAAAAAAGGTTATATTATGGACACATGACGAGTGTGTTTGTCCAGAGGTGGTTCCTGGCAAGGAGTATCTTATAATGTGTTTCCAGCATCTGGAGAGTGGACACTTGGTGCTCCAAGATGACTGTATAGTTGAAGAATGGAACAGTGAATGGCCAGCACTTGTGAAGGTTAGTTTTGGTACAACTCTTTGGTACAACATAATTTGTAGTCCAAACTGCTGCTATGAAGACGCTCATTTGCGTAGTGCTCTTTAGACCGGATGCGCGTACCGGATGGGCGTACCGAATGTGCGGACCGGATGAGCGTACCGGATGCGCTTACCAGATAGGCGTACGATGCGTGTACTGGATACCGGATGCGCGCAATCTGTTTTTAAGCTGGTTTTCCACTATGCGAATTTATTCGGGCTAAACGAAAGCGTCGGTTCGCTTCCAGAGTTCTGATTTTTTCGCATTGCAAAAAGTTGAAAACTCCGATGGAAATGTGCATGCGCATGAACCAACGCCTTCGATTAGTGCGAATAAATTCGCCTAGTGGAAAACAGTCTTATGCATGAATCGGCGGGTGAGGAAAGTCCATTTTAATATCAGAGAAGTTTTCAGTTTTCTACAGGTACACTATTTGTTGATCATTGGTAATGCATATTGTAATACGTTTTTGTGTCTCTCGGATGAATAATAAATATTAATTATATAAGTTTTTCAATTGGTATTTGTCTAAAATTAGAAATGGTATAAAAGATTAAAGAAGTCACAGCGACAAGAATCAACAAATACGAAACCAAAAAACAAGAAAAGAAGACGAGGGAAAAAACGAGTTACAACACAGCCTCCAACCTCACAGCCAAATTCTAAAAGAAGAGAATAGTATTTATGATTTCCATACGGTAGTAATTATTAAGCTATTATACGTTGACAAAATCCAAATAATTGTAAATACATATTTTAAAATGAAAATGTCCGAGTTTCAGAAAGATTATAGAGGGCGCACCAAAGGAACAATGGAAAAAGGGCGATAATATCGCTGAGATGATATTTTGAGTCTAAACAACTTGCGAACTCAAAACTAATATATTCCTCAAATTAATTCATAGAATCTATGTTTAAATAAACAAAAATAACGTAGTTCTTTTGCATTTAGCTCTCTGATTTATTGCAAATAAAATCTGCATTGAAATTAGCATCAACAAATTACTATGGTGTTCTCAATCTGTGAATATCTAATCTGTATATCTTTAAGCTTTAATATACACATTAGATGTGGGTACTGTACTATTATTATTTTTAAGGATTTATAGCGCACATATTCCTTTCAAAAAAGACGTGCTCAAGGTGCTATGTAGGCTATTTGTAAAATTACTACGGTTTCTAATAAGAATACGAAAATATGAATAGTACATGGTAGATTGTGGTGTTTATGTTATATTAATTCTATTGCTCTTAACCCGTACGTTTGTGTAGAGTGCATTCCACAACATTTGCAGCTTTGTTGTTAAGCTTTCATTCATTCTCTAAAGATTAATAACGCTTCTTAGGCTTATATAGCAAAAAGATAATACGTTCATTTGGAGATAAAAGAAACATAGTTTATTTGAATTCATGACTTTAATTATTAATACCATAATATGAGTAGTTAATAATGAGTTTGCTAATAATGAATATATTTGAATTTATTGAGTGTTAAAATTGTTTTTATGTATCCGATAGGCCTATGTCAAGCTAGCATCATGTTATGTTTAAGTGCTTTCAAATAATACCCATCATTTTAGCCGAGTAAGTAGGCCTATTTCATTTGTTGTGGTCCGGATGTCTGTCGGTAAAGTGCGAGATTGAAGTGGAGACTTTTCTTTCCGCCAAAAGCCAACACCGAGCAAATTCGCCGAAAAAACTTCCCTAACAACAGTATGTTAATTGTCGACAGACGATTAAGTGACAGATGGTTAAGAGACAGATGTTTCGTCGACAGACTGTTTACCGAATGTTCTTTTTTGTTTTTATTTCTATTGATAATTTACCAGCATGTCATTCTCGACCGTGAGAGCATCTTGACAATGGGACGAAGTTACCGCCTGACTGGTGACATTTATATGGTATGACACGTGGAATTTTACATGCATTTATTATAATACATTTTTAAATAGTTTAATATTCTGTGCTTGCTGATAGCGACCTAGGTACTTGCACTGGAGCCCAGCAAGGCCCATGAATTCAAAATGCTGAAACTAGATACCGGTACTTGTTTCAATCTGAGCCTGCCGTAAAACCTCCAAAATTGGAGTTACGGCCTATGTGTAATATAAATTTGATTATATAAGATCGTTAATAAACTGGGCATATAAAAAGTAAACGATTTTGTTCTAAACACATTATCCATGCCCAAGCGTTCTAATTACATCATCATCTTGAAAATAAAGCTATAAGGCAAATGCTATTTATATAGTGGCCATTAAATAGGATCTATGCTGGGAGTATCGATTACAAATCTAGACCTTTACGTTTTATTATTCTGTTTTGCTTCTAAAATTCCTTTTTTATTAAAAGTTTTATAATAACCACCACCCAATCAATGTCAAGAGGACAATTTTTCCCTAGTGATTGTCTTCCTTTAATGTAGACCGCATATTTTGTCATCTAACATTTGTATTCGTTCGGATAATATTTAGTGAATTCATTAACATTATATAATATAATAACTAAATAAATTTATATTCCCGTGTATAAAGATACATAAAAATAAATTCTAAATATATTTTCTTTTGAGGCAACATAATACCTTCTGTTTGATATTATTTTATATAAATATATCTAGGCTACTACATATATGCGGTAGTCTGTATCCACTCTATAGAAAAAAATAAATAACAAAATAATTGAACACCAGATTAACCTACAATACAACCCATTTCCACGCATTACAACAATAATTTAATATAGGCCTATTGTAAAGGTATTGTAACATTCATTCAAAATACAAAAATGTATAAAAATCTTGACATAAGAATACACACGGACAGCATAGAGTAGAATTAAGTTCCGATGACTAATCTTACACCTTGATAATAGACGAGTAAAAAAAAGGAGTTACCAGTTTTCAAGAGGGCGGGTCTAGCAAAACAAAGTTTGATTATATATGGTTTAATCGATTGTGTTGGCCTTCTATCCGCCGCTGAAAAATCCAATCCAATATAATAACTAAATAAATTTATATTCCCGTGTATAAAGATACATAAAAATAAATTCTAAATATATTTACTTTTGAGGCAACATAATACCTTCTGTTTGATATTATTTTATATAAATATATCTAGGCTACTACATATATGCGGTAGTCTGTATCCACTCTATAGAAAAAAATAAATAACAAAATAATTGAACACCAGATTAACCTACAACAGATCTGACCTACAATACAACCCATTTCCACGCATTACAACAATAATTTAATATAGGCCTATTGTAAAGGTATTGTAACATTCATTCAAAATACAAAAATGTATAAAAATCTTGACATAAGAATACACACGGACAGCATAGAGTAGAATTAAGTTCCGATGACTAATCTTACACCTTGATAATAGACGAGTAAAAAAAAGGAGTTACCAGTTTTCAAGAGGGTGGGTCTAGCAAAACAAAGTTTGATTACATATGGTTTAATCGATTGTGTTGGCCTTCTATCCGCCGCTGAAAAATCCAATCATTAAAGTAGCGCCCTCGATTTTTTGTAGCCTTTTTTAGCGTACGCGGCAGTAGCCTAGCCTAAATCTGTTTAATGGTGGGAAGGAGCGTTGGAAGTTTGCCAACCTTGGCTAATATAATCACTATTGCTAACCACGTACTTATAGTTCCTTCAAATTTCACACAGAGAATTAAGGATTATACATCTAAACAGGTAAGCATATCAACCATTTTAGTTGTCGTAGTATTATTCGTTGTAAAAACAGCCATTCTCTCTAGGTCTAGCCTAGCTTCATGATGACAGTTCATAAACAAACAAGGGTCAGGCTTAGCCTACCACCACGGGTCCTAATTAACGAACAAGTTACAACACTCACTGTCAATGTTTTATTCCGATGCAACAGTATGCCTGGCCTAGCTAGCTCCATAATTCGTCATACTGGTTGTTCTTGTTGAAAAACTCCTTAGTGTGTGTGTGTCTGTTATGTCGTTTGTCATTTGTTTTTAATGTAATTTTATTGTTTCGATTGTTTCTCCTTACTGGAGGTTTTATGAATAAATTGAAAAAAAATATATATTTTATGGAACATGATATAATAACAAATATAGGCCTAGGCCCTAGTAGGCCTATAGTTATTTAATTACATTAATTAAAATAATTAAACATGTATATTTAGTATAGTACATAAGGCCTATATGATATGTGATGTTGAAAAAACAATTTTATTTTCAATATCCAGTCCTAATCTGAGATTATCTAGGCTAGGCCAAACTTTTTATGCTAACTACGATACCTAGCCTATGCCTAATGACAGGTACTGTACCATACCAAAATAGAATTTTCCTGTTTGAAACACAAACTCTTGTTGTGTTGACCAAACACAGTACTACAGTGTATGGTACAAAATGTTACCCATGATGAAATTTTAATGATTTTCCCCACTCGGCTACCAGGGCTGCAAGAGGGGAAACTTTAAGAGGGCCAAAAAGTGTTGGTGTGGGCCATCATTTACGAGTGCAAGAAAGATTGCGCCGAAGTCGCAAGTATTTCATTTGGACGGGGACCTTGTCAATCTGGATGGACCTATTATTTAGGCCCATGCCATTATTGAGGGCCCATGATACTATAGTAATGTGCATATTGCAATTTTATTGTGAAAGTTTAATATACGTTCCATTTAGGCCTATTATTTTTGAAAAAAAATATTGAAAAAAAAAGCTGCAATTTCTATGGGCTCCCTGGTAAGCTTGGACCCCAGGGATCTTCCCCCTGCCCCTTCTCTCGGTTGCACTGGTGGCTATCACTTTCCTATTTGCCTGTCATTGGGAATGAGAACTATACTACTAACCACTGACAAATAGCTCAAGCAACACACCATCTCAGGCAGTTCAAGTATATGCGCACCAGTGGCGGATCCAGGAATTTGAAATAGATGCGGCCCCGGGACAGTGGCACATTATATCAAGTTTTCAAATGGTGGGGTGGGGGTTGATGGGGAACGCGCAAGTGAAGTAGGGAAAATCAATAATTAGGTGAGGGGGTGGTAGCTCCCAAAATAAGGTGATTTTTTAATTACATATAGCGTGATATTTTGTGGGGGCTCAATAATTTTATAGGGGCTAGATACTCAACTGCCAAGGAGTGACTACTTTCATAGATGGAGGGTCAAAACCACATCAGCCTTCACCTTGTTTGGGCTTGAGGTAAGAAAATATATGATTATGGCACCTGAAACGGTACTAAATTTATGGGGGGTCCGGGCGGGCTAAATCCGCCGCTGTGCACACTGTTCCTGTCTGGTTCCACCTGGCGTGTTAGACAGTATTTCTACAGTATTGTACTGTATTTTCTGTATCAGGTTGCTGAATGTAGATAAACACTTGCATAAATCTCTGAGTGGGTCAGAGAGTACTTAGAGAAGCTTCTGAGTTTTGTCATATTAGTCTTAAGCCTGTAGCAAGCACTATATCCCATTGGCTTTTCATACTTTTTGGATCAAAGGAAAGTAGCTACTACTGTATATGGCCATCAAAGGTACAACCTTGGTGACATCTCCAATACTTTATTATTCTTATTATGCCTACAGTTTTCAGTAGTGATTTGGTTTTTGATTTCTATTGGATGGGTCTATTAGGAAGTTATTGGCTTCTCATAGGAAATACTTGGGTTCTGTATCACTACAGTGCTTAGGTTGGATAATTTTCCTATAGTGCCTGCCTTGATCTAAGCTGGAGCTTTGAATGATGTTTATAGTATTCATTGATGAACTATAGTAACCAAGTCCAGGGGGACATGGGAATAGAGCCCTGCCCCCTCCCAAATAGAAAAGCATGGAGGTATTGAAGAAAATGTTATGCAATAAGGTTATAATACATGTTTTTGCAATGACTGTTCAAATGTGTAGTCATCCTATACAAATTTAATAGCTGTTATGACCAAAATATATTGTGAGCTGACAGCAGCAATTAAGAAGCTATGCTAGCTGGTTTTTTTTCCCCCCAAAATGTCAAAAACCATGTGAAGTCTTGATACATTAATTAACAGTAGTAGAAATAATAATGTGAGTGGTATTTATATTATTATTAGTACTGTATACTAGGCTACTTACAGAGAAAATAATATTCTGCATTATGCAGTGTGCAGATACTGTACTTTCAGCAATTCTTAAGCCAACATACTGTACTAACCTGTTAAAAAAAATTATAAACGGAATTTGACAATGTAAATGTAGCATTAACCTTGTGCGTTTGCAACTACTAACTGTATAATTATTGACTGCGCAGCAGGTCAATACTTGGTTAATGAATATGAACAATAGATTGGCATTTGAAGTCTGCCAGAATGACAGTTGCTCCACCTTAAACTCTGGCATTTTTAGTCAACCAATAGTAGCCATGTTCATCAAATGCCTCTAACATGACCATCATTATTGTGTAGTCTTTTCATATTGAAAACATCATAGTGATTTTAGTACACAGTAATAAGATGAAACTCGGCTTCCATACAATCGCTACACTGTTCCTACAATTTTTTTACTCTAATCATTGCTCACAATATTTATAATTCTGCTCATCTCACAGTCGTACAGTACAGTACTGCCG